GGCGGGCTGGAGATTAATAATTATTTTCTAGATATGATTTTTATTTAATTAAGCTTAAAAACATAATTAGTACATTGAATTATTAATATAATTTATTATTGGTTTTGTTCCACTAGAAATGTTTTATTTTGTTCATTTTAAATTTTAAATAAGCTTTAAAAAATTTATTTAATTTTTTTGTATTTACTAATATATTTTTTCACTAGAAATCTTTTGTTTTGTTCATATATTTTTATTCAATAAAAAAAAAAACTTTAAACATGTTATTTTTTTATTTAGTAATATGGTTCTTTTTTATTTTGCCTTATTTCTTTCACTAGATTTAATTTTTTTACAATTTTTTGATTCTAAATTTTTTAGATAAACTTCAACAAATGTATTTCGTTTTTTTTATTTAGTTAAGTATATTTTAGATTTTTTTTTTCACTGGAATGGTAATATATCACTGAATCGAATCACATTTCCAGTTCCCACCCCTCCTTAATATTGCCTGGAGGTATTTTGTGTGTGTTTTCTTTGTTGCTACTGGTAAATAGATGAACCAGAACACAGTGAATTGACTTGAAACGCATTATATCGCAGAATCGCATCACAATAATATTGAATTGTGGCCCAAATATCGTCCAAATACTATCAAATTCTCACATTTTAGCCACTTCTATATTTATCCTATATTCATCGCGGGGGTATTTTGTGTGTGTTCATGTTGCTATAGCTCGATTAAGGTCACAGAAAGCCCAAAATAGCCTGTGATTGGTTCCCGTTCGCCGTGAGCCGATAGCAGCAGACAAAAGCTCGTCTGGGCGGTGGACCGGACTCACCCGGTTACGTAAGACCCTGATCCTCTCTGATGTAACGGTCTCTGCTGCGACGGAGCTGCATTATTTATGATGCTGTTATTACACTGATTATGCACAACACACACTTTGGTCTCATCGCTCTCTGGGTTTTCACACGTTTACAGCGTCAGATAAACTGATCTCACGTCGTACGCCATTTCATTTGTATGTTTTTGGGGTCGTAAATGATCTATTTTAGTTATTTTGGCAGATTAGAGACCTATGGGGTCCTTAGACTGAATACTAGAAGCTGGTGAAAGGGTAAACGTGTTGAAACAGTTTAAAAGTTCAAAAGGTGCAAAGCAACTTAAAAAACACATTTGTTGTATTTGTATATATTTGTGCTATCAAACGATTAAGATATGTAATTGCAAATAATCACATTAATGTTACAGTTAACTCGTGATTAATTGCAATTAATCACACATATTTCCATGTTCTAAATGTCTCTTGATTTCGGATTGAAAAAAAGCTTATTTTTAATCTAAAAAGTTTAGTATATTGTCTAATATTAGTCCGATTCGAGTGCGAGTCAATGTCTCTCTTTTTTAAACTTTTTTTTATTGCACAAGCAACAAAAGCATTTACATCAAGAGTGGACAACATTTCAGGTGTATTTTATTTACACTATAAAGGTAGAATGAATCGATAAGACAGAACTGACTGAACTGTAGTAACATTTACATTTAACAACAACTGTTTCAGAGCGACTTAGGTCTTGCTCCACAGCTGCACCCTGGACCTTCTTGCCTTCAGTCATTTCCATTTACAGTTCATATCGTTTATATTTACTAAGCATTTTCTCTACAGCGCTTTGAGGCAATATTGACTTTTTATAAACGTGCTTTATATATAAACTTGACCTCGACATTTCTCCATTCTCTAGTTCAGACCCATTTCTTACTGTAACATGATCTGGATGTGTGCGTTTCTATTTGCGTCGCTCGGCTACATTTTCATATCAACACAAACCGTTTTCTGCTGTTTTCTAAATGACAGGTTTTAAATATTCATGACATTAATAAACAAACAATGTGTAGCTTTGGTCCAAAGAGAAACCTGAAAACTACCATTAGCTTTATTACTGCACCGCACATAGGAAATGTCAGGTCTGTTCTGTAATCACACACACACACACACACACACACACACACAGGCACACAGACATACGTACAGATAGACACACACATACAGACACGCACACACACATATACAGACACACACACATGTATACAGACAGACACACACACATACAGACGGACACACGCACAGACACAGTAAGACACAGACAGACACACACAGACACACACACACACACACATACAGACGGACACACATGTACACAAACAGACACACACACACAGACAGACATACAGACGGACACACATGTATACAGACAGACACACACACATACAGATGGACACACGCACAGACACAGTAAGACACAGACAGACGCACACACATGTACACAGACACACACACACACACACAGACGGACACACGCACAGACACAGTAAGACACAGACAGACACAGATAGACACACACACACACATACAGACGGACACACATGTACACAAACAGACACACACACACACAGACAGACACACGCACAGACACAGTAAGACACAGACAGACGCACACACATGTACACAGACAGACGGGCACAGACACAGTAAGACACAGACAGACACAGATAGACACACACACAGACACACACACACACATACAGACGGACACACATGTACACAAACAGACACACACACACAGACAGACACACACACATACAGACGGACACACATGTATACAGACAGACACACACACATACAGACGGACACACGCACAGACACAGTAAGACACAGACAGACGCACACACATGTACACAGACAGACACACACACACACACACCTACACAGACAGACAGACACACACACACACACACAAATACAGACGGGCACAGACACAGTAAGACACAGACAGACACAGATAGACACACACACAGACACACACACACACACATACAGACGGACACACATGTACACAAACAGACACACACACACAGACAGACACACACACATACAGACGGACACACATGTATACAGACAGACACACACACATACAGACGGACACACGCACACACATGTACACAGACAGACACACACACACACACCTACACAGACAGACAGACACACACACACACACACAAATACAGACGGACACACGCACAGACACAGTAAGACACAGACAGACACAGATAGACACACACACACACATACAGACGGACACACATGTACACAAACAGACACACACACACAGACAGACACACACACATACAGACGGACACACATGTATACAGACAGACACACACACATACAGACGGACACACGCACAGACACAGAAAGACACAGACAGACACAGACAGACGCACACACATGTACACAGACAGACACACACACCTACACAGACAGACAGACACACACACACACACACAAATACAGACGGACACACGCACAGACACAGTCAGACACAGATAGACACACACACACACACACACACACATTATGTCATAAATCTCGATTGCAATTTCTTTTCGATATCGCGGAGTAAGAATGAGCCCAGTCACTATGGAAACCTCTGTACCAAATGTGATGCTAATGTCCAAATATGTGTCAAATGCGTTGCTTCCTGTAGGGGAGAGGTTCATTAGGGTCAGGGTCAAAGTTATTTTTTCTCTTTGTGAATACACTCTATATTATGTCTATACTGTATAGACTTATACTGTAAGTTAGGAGAAAACGCTTTCTCCTAACTTCCTCTTGGAGTTCGTCGCACTTTCTCCGACACTCGTCTTCCTCCATCTGCGCCGCCGACTCAAATAACGCCTCATTCTTGCGTTAATGAAGTTTCACGACCAAATCCACACTCGGTTCAACAGTTCAGGCTGTCGCACCATCACTGCCTCTGTCTCCGGGAAAACCTCAAATCGCAATATTCTGGAGACGGGAAAAAACAAAATGGCTGCCCCCCTCCTTCACCATTGTCAGTGTAAATGTACAAAGTTAATTCTGACATGATTCTCCAATGGGACAAAGGCATTTAGCTTTATTTGAAAAACCGTTTCTTTATTTTCTCATTCCAAAGGGAGACATTTCTTGCTTTGTCCCATTGGTAAATTGGGATACATTGTGCCAAATTTGAGCTTTTTATTATTATTTTTCATCACTTTTTGCAGTGTAGAGGCTGTTTTTCATGGTAGTTAGAATGGTTTTTTCCCGTCTTACCCACTCAGACTGTAGAACGAGGACTGAGGCCCTGAGTCTGTCCCTGGGAGCAGATCCCTCTCCCAGTGTGTGCCTCCCCCAAAGTTTCTCTTTTTTCCCACTGGGTTTTTGTGTAGTTCCTCAGCGATGCAGGAGGGTCTGAGGACAGGGATGATCCGGGACATTTAAGGACATTTTGTTTTTACATTTATGGACCAGTGGCTCCTGTGTGTTTTGGTTATTATTGCATTTCCTGTGTTCAAACGGTTTGATTCTCTGATCTGTTGTCGTGGAATCAACAACTTGCTGTTGTGATTCAGGGCTACACACAAATGCATTGAATTGAATGTATGCTTTTTCTCATGCATTCAAGTCGCCCATTGATTGCGACAAACACAAAAATATATATATACACAGCGATTTCATTTGTATTCAGTTTGGGACCAGGTTTAAAAAAAATTGGGTTTTCAGATTCCCAAAACACCTTTGTGTGGATCATACACTGATTGACTATTTTTTTTTTTTTTGGGGATTTTGTGTGGACAGACAGGGCCTTAGTTCTTAGTCTTAATGTTTAATAATGCATTGGTTTTATATACAGCGCTTTTCAGGACACTCAAAGACGTTTCACATGTCATTATTATTATTATTATTATTATTATTCACTACATACACAGTGGTGATAAACTACTGTAGCCACAGCTGCCCTGGGGCACACTGACAGAAGCGGCACAACCAGAATGTGCCATCAGCCCCACCGACCACTACCAGCCATTCACGCACACACCAGACTCATTCTAATGTGGGTGAAGTGTCTTGCCCAAGGACACAAGTCAGTCAATGTTCAAATCCCAGATTTCCTTCCCTCATCCTGACGTTCAGTGGTGTTTTTGTCCCCTGCAGAGGTGGAGACGGAGCCGGTGCGTGTGTCCGGAGAGCGGCCTTCGAAGCGCCGCTGTTTCTGGGAGTACAGACGCTCGCGAGACTCGTCCTCCAAGAAGAAGCCGGGGTCCGAGGGCCACTGGTCCCTGTCCTGGAGCTCCAGCACTCTGCCCAGCACGCTGTACCGACGCGAGGGTAAGAGCTGCACCAAAACCCCCGTGGCGAAGAATACTGTCACACAAGGTCCATACGGTTTTGTTTATGTGACATCACAACGTTCCAGAGAGCCTATACTTTAACACTGTTGTGGAGGACAGCTGGAAAGTAGGTGATGGGATCTATGGTAACGGGGAGAAGTCTGCTAATCTATATAAAACAAAAACTGTCATAAAGTTCTTCAGGAATTCACTAAAATCTTGGTATTTCTTGGATGAATAGAGCAGCTCTTATCTCTTCTACTTTGTCTGCCTCTGTCTCCAGTTTGACTTTGAGCTGTGACCAATCAGGAGCCGTCTGTATCAGAAGCAGGACCTGATTGGCTCAGACTGTCATGAATGTTATGTACTAAAAGCAGTAGCTAAGTACATTAAAACACTTGTGAATGTAAAGGTATATTGTATTTTTTCTCTGAGTGGCCTGGTCTCTGCACATATGTCACCTGAAATTTGGTTTTTGTGGCTCTTCTCTGTATAAGCAGCTTTAAAGAAACAAAGGAAGAGGATTTGCTGAAAAAAGAAGTCAAAAATGGCTCAAATTTGGCAAAAACGTATCTTAATTTGAACACATTCAGACTGCCTTAAAACAAGATTTGCCAATGGGACAGCGCATATATATCTTGTTTTAAAAAAGATCCAAGAAATGTCTCTTTTAGAATGAGAAAATAATAAACAATTCTTGACATCAGACTAAAGGGCTTTGTCCCATTGAAGAATAAACTCAGATTAAGATAAAAACCACCATTCAAGCTATTATTACCTCATATTTCATTTTATTTTTGCAGTGGACGTGTGGCAAACTCCTTGTTTGCCACAGTACACAATACATACACAACAGCTTGATCTCGTCTGGTATAAAACCCTTATTCATGTTCAGAAACAGGCACAAAGAAAAAAAATCTATACGTCCCGCCCACCCTCTCCTCAGATGTACAGCGACAGGGCTAATTATCGTCCCCACCCCCCCAGCCTCGGATCAGCGGGTAATTGTGTATAATTTAGTGTGAGGGCCCTCCACTCCGCTTGCAGCAGTCGTTATGTCCCGGCGTCGGCAGCTGTCTATGGCCCAGATCTGCCCCATGTGACAGGCACTAGACCCTGCGGTGCCTGCCCTACATTCGCTATACATCAAACCTCAATCTAAACTCGCTCTGGCTGCGGATTTTTGTGTGTGTGCGGGCGCCAGACAAAGAAAAACCGTGCCCTATATAAGCGTTTGGGAAGTGGAGCGGGGTATAGAGCGGCTCACCAGGACAAGCAACAGAAATGTATGAGTAAAGCTGGGGTTCGGAACTTCCAAACGCAAGGAATTAAAATTTTGAGAAGATGAGGCTTGTTTCTTTGTTAGGTTAAAGAGATTTTATACTTTTTCAAGCAGAGAAGGGAAAAAAACAGAGGATCACGCTCCCTCGGCCAATCATCTCTCAGCCCAAAGCGTCAAATAGTGACTCACAGGGCTCATGAAGATGGGATTTGTCCATAACATTTGGCTTCACATTTTAATACATGTATTATCTATGGAAATAATAGTTAGGTACCCTTTGATTTTCAAGCTTTTAAACAGTTCACGGATTCATTCATTTCTGCTGTGGATTTTATTTATGTAATTGGTTTAATTTTGACATTAGTTCTGTGGTTTCACCTGCGTCTCTGTCTATATGCACCTGTGCTCACCCTCATGTGTTGCTGGTCCATTGTCTTTCCCTGTCTATAAATATATGGTCCTGAGTTTCGTTTGGATTTTTGATTTGTTTTTACCAAGCCCTGGCGATCCAAGATGGCGCCCTATTCAAATGAATGGTTGTGCTCAGTGGCGCTTTGTGACGGCATGGGGGCTGAAAGATTAGCGGAAGTTGCAAAGATCTATGGGAAACTCGCCTGTATTTGGGCATCGTCTGGTCCTCCCGGTTCTGTGCAGTGGATGATCTCCCATAATGCGTTGCGCCAAACACGCGTGTGTGGGTCTCACACCGGGTCTCACGCACGTGCACAGAGGGGCTCGGCCGCGCTCTGACCAATCAGAGCAGTTCATCAGAGCGGGAGTTAGAGCGAGAGCCAGAGGAGCAGAGTTTGTGGCACTAAAGTGTGGATTTAAACAAAACCGAAGGATTTAAGAAGAAAAAAAGTTCAGGATGACAAGGGACACTAAAATCCCCACAAAATCCGACCTTTATGAAAGCTGTAGGTTCTCTGTCAGCTGAGGTCGAGCTGTTTTAATATGCATTGAGTTCTATGGGGAAAATTTCTGGGTAGCCCACGTTTAGTCTGGTTCAGTCTGCAGTACCGCGAGAATCCCCTGAGCACATGAGTTATCCAGCTACAAGCTATAGTAATACCCTATCCAGTTAATATAATAGATCCATGGTTTTTACCCTGAACCTTTTTTTATTGCCTCATTATGACCTATTATTATGACTTTATCATTATTTTTGGATTCCTGCTTGTTGGATCATCTTTCACCCTTCCATCAACACATTTTCCACTGAGAGCTTACCAACATGGGATATTCCTTATTTTCTTTGAACGTTACACAGTGATGTCACCAAGTCAGGCCACATCTGGTGAGACATCTCCTCTCAAGAAGGGGTTGTTTCCTATGAACACATTTTAGTCTGAATGGTGAATGTAATGTCTTTTCTTGCAGGAAAATCAATATCATGAATGGACAGCTTTTTAGATGTTTAATAAAAAGGTCATTTCCTGTGTTGAAACAGTTTGAACACAGGAAATGCAGTCATAACAAACACAAAGGAGACATTTGTCCATAATGTCCTGGATCATCTCTGTCCTTAGACCGTTCTGCATCAGCAAGAAACATGAGCCGGGACAGAGCAGTGGCCTCTCCTGATTGGCTGTTTGGTTGCTAGGCTGTTGTCATTCATAAATTTGTTAGCAAACCCTAGACTGTGTATAAGAATGTACGATGCTAATCCACTAGTGTTTCTCCTACTCTGTAATCTCTTTTTCTGTTACTGTCCCACACTCACCATTTTGGAGGTAAACATCCGTGGTATTATGATCCTGGTGTTTATGTTTTGATCATATCTAAATCCATTGGTCAGTACCCCTAACAACTGACCAATCAGGAGCCTTCTGTCCCCGAATTTGGCTTGAACTTTTCCGTTCAATTTAGTTGGTGTATAGCCCTGAATCACAACAGCAGTCAAAAGTTGTGGATTCACCGACAATAAATCAGACATCAAACAGTTCGAACTCAGAAATGCAAAAATAACAAATACAAAAGAGACATTGGTCCATAGGGCATGACATGACTAATGTCTATAAATCTTAATAAATGTCCTGTGATCATGAGCAGGGAAAGAGCAATGCCTCTCCTGATTGGCTCTTTGGTTGCTAGGTTGTTGCCATCCATAAATTTGGCTCTAGATTCACACATAGAAATTTCTTGTTTGAGTTTTCTCTGATATTCTGCAACAAAGCAAACACTGTGGGTGACACCGGCACTGGGTTAGTCCATTCTTAGTGAAATGTTCTAATGGTCTGTGTGTGTGTGTGTGTGTGTGTGTGTGTGTGTGTGTGTGTGTGTGTGTGTGTGTGTGTGCGGCAGGTAAGAAAGGCCGTCGTAAAGCCCGTAAGACCGACGCCAGCGACCTGACCCCGAACCCCCAGAAGCTGCACAACATCGGGGAGCAGCTGCAGAAGCTGAACTCTGCCATCGACGGCATGGGTCCTGTCAACGACCTGCCGGCTGTGGCCCGAGCACGGTCCCGGAAGGAGAAGAACAAACTGGCTTCAAGGTAACACACCGCGGTCGTGTGGGTCCGTAAGATAAGAGAGTTCGAAGATCTTGGTTGTTCGGGTTCCTATTCTCGGTGGGGCAGTCGTTAGCGCTTGTGCTTCATAGCAAGTAGGTCCTGGCTTCGATTCTACCTCCAGGCCTTTCCCTGTGTCTGCATAAGGTTTCCTCCGGGTGCTCCAGTTTCCCCTGCCACTGATACATAAGATGTACAATAGGTCTGGATACGCCGCCTGTTTGTGACCTTCTCCCACATGTCAGAGCGACTATCTCATGGATTCATTTATTTTATCCATTCAATCTGAAATGATGATTCATAAGTATTTACAATATTGACATTCATCAGTTCATGGAGATACTTTTGTACATTGGTCTATATATTACTTACTTCTTATTGTGCTAAAGTATGCCTCAGATATTTCATACTCAATTCTTGCGTTTTTTATTATGCTAAAGTTAGAGATTTTATTTTCATTTTTGTGTAGAGTTTTTTTTCCCTTGTGCGGTGTGCTCCTCATTCCTACTCTTCTGTAACTGGCAATGCAACACTGGAATTTCCCTACTATGGGACGAACACAGTATTTCTTAATCTTAACCAATCACGCAGCTGTATTTACAATCTGTCAGCTTTGAAATGAAGGAAAGAAGTCAAAACGTGTCGACTCCCACCCCATAAACATCATTTAAATGCACAAGACGTACATTATTTAGCTAAAGCGTCATGGAGACCAACTTATCCCTTTGTTTTTCCGTTTACTAAAATACATCTCTGAGTTTACATGAGGTTAAAAAGCTAAAATGATCCACCGGCATCCACTGGGATTTCGGCCTCGTTTTTTAAAAAGTGCCTGAGCGCCCCAGGCCAGTCATATGTCTAAAATATGCATACATACTTGTCACGCTTGTCGAGTTGTTTTTCTGGAGGAGATTTGGTGCTTGATTTGCTCTCGTGGGAAAAAGCCAGAGCTGAACGTATGCGGAGTAAAAAAAAACAACATTATATATTGGGGTTATTCAAACGTCGAGAGAGTATCAAAAGATTGTGAGAAATGGAGCCATAAATAATTTCTCAACATTCTTCCCTTATGTAAGCTGTAACTCTGCTTTTGGACTTTTTGGAGAACTGGAGATATGAATGAATGGACTTATATCATCACTGTGGCGCCACCTGCAGGTTAAAGCCAGATTCTGTCAGAGTTTAGAAGGCTAAGCAGGGAAGAGCCTGGTCAGTACTGTGATGGGAGACCAACTGTAGTGGTATCCTTAGGCAATACGCATGAGGATATGAGCTAGCTTATGTCCAAAACGGCGTCTTCTACATTAAAGGTATATCGGAGGATGTTCTACTTCATGACTATTGGTCCTCGTACTCGTCAATCATTCGGGTGCTACGTGCTCGTCCAATAAGACCAGTGAGTTTTGTTCAAAAAGAGGAGAGGGCGGTTCTTTTCTAAACGTGGGAAAATCCTCCTATTTAGCTTTAAGGCTAACGCTATGGTTATGTCCACTCCTAATACACAATGCCAAAAAGTTCTTTATGACTCTGGGCGGGGAAAGGCGCTAAATAAATATATATTACTTTATATACGGTTTACGGCGCAGACATGCAGACACATATAGGAGACAAAATATCCACTTGAGATATTTTGGTCTGGGGAAACGGGAGCACCCTGAGGAAACCTACGCTGTTTCGACTGGGATTCGAACCCAGGACCTTCTATTTTTGTTTTTTTATACCCATAAAACAAAATCAGAATCTTTTTTACATTTGCTCATGCAATTATGCTTTGGGAAGCTACTTTGAAGAGGGTGGCGAGCTACCGCTAGCTCCCAGGCTATAGGTTGGAGACCCATTCTCTAAACTATGTCTCAAAGTACGAGACAGAATCCACCAAAATCTATCAGTTTCTGGGAATGTTTTCTACTTCTTTCTTTGCATTCTGCTGCGTCTCTGTCGCTGTAGCACTTTGACGAATGTGCTCGTGTGTGATTGGTGAAGGGGAGAAAGTGCAAAATTGGTATTTATGCTTCAGGCGGCGAGTTTGAGTGAGCGGGGAATTAATAATGCACCAAATTGTAAATGGAATGTCCGGAAAGTAGGTTTAAGTGACTAATGTATGCGTGTTATTATTGCACCGTTACGGAAAAGCAAATCCAGTCTTCAATGTGCCTTTACTTTCAGTTTATCGCTAATCAGAATAAATATTATGTAAAAAACATTATAATTATCTAAAATTATCCATCTATACAGCCTAATACTACGGCGTAAATCCTACTGTTTTTTTCTGCTGTAATCTGTACAACAATGTCATTGAAATGTCCCCACTGTAGGATCTAATCTTATCTTAGCTTCTGGTAGAGTTCAGAAGTTAAGCAGGGCATGGCCTGGTTAGGACTGTGATGGGAGACCTCTGGAAACAACAGGCGTGACACTGGACTGTGGAGAAAATCTTGGGGAGGCCACATTGAGAGAGAGGACTGAGATAGACTGTAGGTCCAGGATTCAGGCTGGAGAACAAGGACTGAGGCTTTAGATCCAGGACAGAGGCTTTAGATCCAGGACAGAGGCTTTAGATCCAGGACAGAGGCTTTAGAGTCAGGACTGAGGCTTTAGATCGAGGACTGAGGCTTTAGATTCAGGACTGAGGCTGTAGATCCAGGACTAGAGGCTGTAGATCCAGGACTGAGGTTTGCTGCTGATCCAGGACTTGAGGTTGTAGATCCAGGACTAGAGGCTGTAGATCCAGGACTGAGGCTGTAGATCCAGGACTAGAGGCTGTAGATCCAGGACTAGAGGCTGTAGATCCAGGACTGAGGCTGTAGACCCAGGACTAGAGGCTGTAGATCCAGGACTGAGGCTGTGTAGTGTAGGACTGACGTGGCTCTCAGGTTGCCTAGGGCGGGCCATGAAACGTACAATGTGACAGCGGGTGAATAGCAATGAACAGACTTGTAGAGTGGGGCGTAGATAGTGCTGTAGTCACCATACAGCTCCTCTCACCTCATAACAGAAGCCTTCATTCCGAAACAGAAAGTCTTAATTCCTCTTACACCAAATACATCTTCCCGACCACTTCCCCACAGGCGCATTCACGCGGATCAAACCAGAAAGAGACGCTCTGAATCTACAGCAGACACCAGGGACATTTTAATTCCCCTCCATTTTGAACTCGGTGACTTTTTCGAGCCCGATCGCTGAGGGAGAAAGAGAGAGACGGATTTTATGTGGCAGATTTTTCATAGCGGCGTCGAGACATCTACAGAGGACATCTCTCTGGAGGAGCTGCATCCGAACAAAGGGAGAGATAGGATCAGAGCTGAGCCGGTGAATTACATTTACTCTAATATGTCTGGGTTTAAATTGTTCTTCAAAAGAGTTGTTAAAAGCATCGTTCTTACACATTTCTCGAGTGCAGTTTGAGGCTTAAGTGTTTTCTCTGCATTATGAAAACAGCTGGTGTGTACAATGGGTTGGAAAACACAGTGAGTGGATTTGAAAACGTATATTCAAATTAGATTGTGTTTGTACCGCCCAAATTGTCAACAACAGTCGACTTAAATTACTTCACAGAGAGTAAAAAGCCAAGCCTCAGTCCTCGTTCTACAGCCTGAGTCCCGGATCTACAGCCTCAGTCCTGGATCTACAGCCTCAGTCCTGGATCTACAGCCTCAGTCCTGGATCTACAGCCTCAGTCCTGGATCTACAGCCTCAGTCCTGGATCTACAGCCTCAGTCCTGGATCTACAGCCTCAGTCCTGGATCTACAGCCTCAGTCCTGGATCTAAAGCCTATGGATTCAGGCTTTAGTCTTATACTTCAATGTTTACATACGCAGAAATGTGGGGCCATTTTTCAGAGAATGAATGATTATAATAATAATAATAATAATGTGCTACTATGGCATGTTATACTTCAATTTAAAACCTAATATCTCAGGAAAACCGCCATTTGTTCTAAATGTTTACAAAATTATCTTCTGTGTGTTTCTGTTATTGACAAAAATATCGTCCACCGTCTCCACTCTCACTATATCTTATGTATTGTCTATTTCCCAGTACATTTCTCCACAAAACACTGACGACTGAACGGTTAAATAAAAAAAATAAAAAAAAAATAAACAAATAGTGACACTGGATAATGTGGTTGAAAGCTGTGGAGAAACCGGTCCCAGCCTGTTTCCCATACGTCAAACAGAATTAAACGTCTTTTTGTGTAGGTGAAACTTCTCTCTTTAAACTCTAAAAACATGAAACGATAGAAGGCGACGGCGGAGGAGCAACACGGAGCGAGTGAGTGACGGGAAGGTACATCAGAGGAAGCGGAGGTCGAGCAGAGTTCAGCAGAGAGGAAGATTACAGGGATCTGAGATGATGGCCACTTTCTCTTTTATTACAAACTGTTATTAAACACAAACACGCACAAAGGCAATAAGGAAATATGGATCCGGTCGCGAGGTAGAACAGCAGCCGTTTTTGTTATTGGTCCCATGTGATCCAAGGTCATAGTTTTAATGAAAGGCGGGTTTCAAAATCAAAAACAATAAACACGGGAAAAATTGGTAAAATATGAGGTAATAATTCTTGGGTTTCATTAAACTGGCCAGTAGGGGGCGAATGAGCAGAGGTGGGACAACTCAGTTTTGCTCCCATTGAAAAACATGTAAAGTCTGTTTTGGAGTCAAAGGCTCTCCTCCTGTGCGGTGTACGGTTGTTGGAACAGTCTTAATCGGTGACACTCAATTCTAAGGGAGTACTAACAAATATTTCTCAAAAGAGTCTTGATTTCTGGCATTTTTGGAAAGAAAAACAGAAGAAATTGCTGCGTTTCATTGGGGTGGCCTGCAGGGGGCGCTTATCTGGGAAAGCCTTGATCCATCTCGCCCGCCTCATTCCAGTGATTTTTTTTCATAGTGTCCTCCTTTATTTGAGACCACAGTTGGAACATGAACAAACTCTTGTCTTTCTCTCTCTTTTTGCGGTTGCTACAAGCGTACACCGCACAAACAGATGGCATCTTGACAGCGCTTCTTCTTCTACTGTATCTCCGTGTATAAACCCGGCAGACTGCACCGCCAGGGTACGTCACGTCCTGTCCCACGTTTGTTATTCGCGCCACTGCCCTGACGTCATATGAAACCCAAGAATAGCTTGAATCGATTGGTTTTTGTTTTAATCTGAGCACAATCAAGCACAAACAAGATTCTCCAACGGGACAAACCCATTTCGTCTTATTTTAAGAGCTGTTGCTGTGTTTTCTCATGGAAATGTTTCTGAGGGAGACATTTCTTGTATCTTTTTAAGACAAAGATATTTTTTGCTTTGTCTCATCGGCAATTCTTGTTTTAAGACTCAGTCAAAATGTGCTCAAATGAAGATACGTTTTGCCAAATCTGAGCAATTCTTTACTAATTTTTCATCACTTTTTGCAGTGTATGACATGACGAGGATATATTTAGCAATTATGTTACGATTACGATTCACAAAACTAGACAGAAATGTTGTTCCTTGCCGATGCGGAGGGTCTAGGGGCCGCGGGGATGATCCAGGACGTCGATCATTCAATATGGCTCAAAATAAATTGACACCTTTTCATACGTGTCACTGCGATGACCTCACATGTGACCAGTTTTCTAAGATGAGGAGAAACTCTCTAATAAAACATCACAGACAAAATATACTGTTATTCCCATTTAAATTCCAAAATAAATTATACACATGACAAAAGATTGTAATAAGATGAGGAAATGAGAGTAGTGCGGGCTGCTCTCACACAGTCACAGGTACATAAGAGATAAGTTGCTAAAATATGGATAAAAAACAGTATTTAAAACATTAAAGGTGCATTAAATGTTGTGGTGAATACTGACAACATCCTCGTTTTAATCCTAATCCCCTGAAACCTTAGAAATGTACTTGTTTCTAAAGTAAAGGTGGATTTTTGTCATTTGTCGTGCGGGGAATGAAAAGTAATGCAGCCGACTTTGCCAAAGAAGAAAGACATTCGGGTCAGTTTAAAGTGGGACGATTAGATCCACTTGAAGCCGTAGAGCTTAGAAAGACAGAAGGGAGAACAAGACGTTTTTATTCTAACCTGTAAATTAATCATTGGCTCAGGATCAGTCGCACTGTTCTATCCTGGCATTTATCGGTTGAATCCTCTCCGACCAATCAGAGAACGGGGGAGGCGGGTGTTGTAGGTTGGTGACTGTGACGTCCCGAGTTGGCGCCAAATTGGCTGGTTGTAGTTTGTCGGCGAATGCGATAGTAAAGTCATCAGTTCTGGTTTGGCTCCAAAAATCAAGAAATTAAAGTCGGAGCAAGAGGAATGTTTGGCAAAAGTCATTGAAGCAAATAAGTTGTGGCTCCACTCCCCACCGGCTCCGTTAGCGGCAAAGGAGATGGCTAAAGCTAGGCTGAATGCTAAAGCTAGGCTAAATGCTAAAGCTAGGCTAAATGCATTACATACGTCTTAGTAAACTCAGATCCAATCGTTTCAATCTGCAAAAGGAGTTGACCCCTCCCACCTGTTCACGGAGCTCAATGATGCAAACCCAGACCTTAGTCCGGAATGAAATGAGTACGATGGTGTGGTACGACCAGGCTAGTACTAGTCTACTTTTCTATGGTTTTTTTTTTTTTTTTTTTTGCTTACTTACTCAACCAACTTTTTGTGCCCGTGTCAAACTAATGTTTTTGCATGTTCAGAGTATATTCACAGTATAATGCAGTATGTTGGATCGTATCTCACTGGGTATTTATCTATATTGCACATTTCACAGACCAAGGTCACACAAAGCGCTTCACAAAACACTGCGCGTCTCTGGAACCAGTGTAAATGTGGAAAATGTTTACCCTCTGCCAGGCATTCCAAATGAACAGACACATACTTCACATCAGCGTCAGTGGAAAACGGAGAGAGAGAGACGATTTTTACTACAAAAGAAAACACAAATTCTTCATTATAATTATGTTTTTTTTCCCAGTTCCCAAAGAATGCAGCCTGTGCATGGCTTCTATCAAAAAACCCACACACGCAGAGCCAATAAAAATCCATCCGTTCTTACACGTCGCTTCCGAAGACATAAATGAATCAATGTGTTTTTTGAAAGTCGTCCAATAAGGTTATGCAAAACATCCCATCGCTAGTGCGTTAATTCTAACTCGGCTGTCGTCCAATGTTTTTTTACAGATAAAAACCGAGAGAGTGGTTCCCATCGTGCGGCCCTCGTAAACCCCGCAGTGTAATTCACTTGACGCCTGACAGTGTTGAGAGAGACAGCTTTCATAGCCTAAATATTTCACTGGCATCGATCGATTCAGTTCTTTTGACCTCGAAATGGCCCGAAAAGAAAGCGTACACAGAGTCAAAGCCAAACGCTACAGCGGAGACGGGGGAGGCGTGGGAGTCAATCAAACCCTTCCTCAAACGTGTCCAGTATTTCCGCAGAAGCAGCAGCAGCAGCAGCGCTAAGAGGATAAACAGGATAATTTAGACATATATCTAAAACATACAACACGCTTCCCCCCCTGCTTCATTTTGCCCTTGTCTTCTTTCTCCTCCAGAGCTTGCCGACTGAAGAAGAAAGCGCAACACGAAGCCAACAAGATTAAGCTGTGGGGGCTCAATCAGGAGTATGGTGAGTGCTGGTTAGCTAGCTGTTTTTTTTCTCTGGCTACCGGACGTTATCGGAGATTGTGTTTGTGAATCGGGATCAAATCCAGTGTTGAGGTTTTTAAGCCTTTTAATGGTTTCCTCGACTGTTTCGTGGATCACTTTTTGAGTCACTATCGGCCTGAAGCTTTGACTGAAATCCATCTCATTGTTGCATCTATGACTCGTTTTTAGGCACAATTTGATGAAGAATTTTAATGAAAAAACAATTCATTTTTGTTGTTAGTGTGCAACATCTTGGAACAAAAGCCATTAAACACGATACATTTACATTGCTTTCTTTAAGGAGTGAACGTTAAAGGGTTAAACTGCTTTTGTCATTGCTACTAGTGCTGGGAGGGTTGTCGCGCTAGGCTAGGCTATGCTAAAGCTATGCTAAAGCTATGCTAAAGCTATGCTAAAGCTATGCTAAAGCTAATATTGATTTGAGGTATTTCAGTGATCAATCTACAGTGGTAAGAAAAAGCCCAGATTTGTAGATTCTGGAGAACAGGGCAGGGCCTGAGTAGTGCCGTGATGGGAGACCTCTGAGAACACCAGGTGCCACAGTGGGGCGGCTGCGGCTGTAAAGTGCCAAACTGTTGTTGCGTCCTTAGGCAAGACACTTCACCCACATTAGAATAAGTCTGGTGTGTGAGGGGCTGATGGATTTTACTGGTTGCCTCGCTTCTGTCGGTGTGTCCCAGGGCAGCTGTGGCTACATTAGCAGTGAATGGCCTTTGTGTGTGAAGTGAATGAATAAATGCCATGTGAAGCGTCCAAAAGAGTGCTGTATAAAACTGATGCAAAATTTTTATTATTTTAGAAAACAGCAGAAGTTTAGACTTCTATAAACCGCATAGGATTCTTAAATGAAAGAGTATATTTCTATTTCTTTTATCAACAAAGTGCACATCTTCTCACAATGCAAAGCAGGTCAGGGAAATAGCAGTAGAACATTAAGCTAACATTAAGCTAACATTAAGCTAACATTAAGCTAACATTAAGCTAACATTAAGCTAACATTAAGCTAACATTAAGCTAACATTAGCGCTGGTCTGAATGGACAGTGTTACTCAGTGTTACAACCTGTGTCCTGCTCTGCCCTCTCCTCTCCTTCTGGTCTCTCTCTGGTCTCTCTCTGGTCTCGCTCTCCTCTCCCTCTGGTCTCTCTCCTCACCCTCTGGTCTCTCTCTCCTCTCCTTCTGGTCTCTCTCTCCTCTCCTTCTGGTCTCTCTCTCCTCTCCCTCTGGTCTCTCTCTGGTCTCCCCCTGGTCTCTCTCCTCACCCTCTGGTCTCTCTCTGGTCCCTCTGGTCTCTCTCTGGTCTCCCTCTGGTCTCTCTCTCCTCTCCCTCTGGTCTCTCTCTGGTCTCCCTCTGGTCTCTCTCCTCACCCTCTGGTCTCTCTCTCCTCTCCCTCTGGTCTCTCTCCTCACTCTCTGGTCTCTCTCTCCTCTCCTTCTGGTCTCTCTCTCCTCTCCCTCTGGTCTCTCTCTGGTCTCCCTCTGGTCTCTCTCCTCACCCTCTGGTCTCTCTCTCCTCACCCTCTGGTCTCTCTCTGGTCCCTCTGGTCTCTCTCTGGTCTCCCTCTGGTCTCTCTCTCCTCACCCTCTGGTCTCTCTCCTCACTCTCTGGTCTCTCTCTCCTCTCCTTCTGGTCTCTCTCTCCTCTCCCTCTGGTCTCTCTCTGGTCTCCCTCTGGTCTCTCTCTCCTCACCCTCTGGTCTCTCTCTCCTCTCCCTCTGGTCTCTCTCTGGTCTCCCCCTGGTCTCTCTCCTCACCCTCTGGTCTCTCTCTCCTCACCCTCTGGTCTCTCTCTGGTCCCTCTGGTCTCTCTCTGGTCTCCCTCTGGTCTCTCTCTCCTCACCCTCTGGTCTCTCTCTCCTCTCCCTCTGGTCTCTCTCTCCTCACCCTCTGGTCTCTCTCTCCTCTCCCTCTGGTCTCTCTCTGGTCTCCCTCTGGTCTCTCTCCTCACCCTCTGGTCTCTCTCTCCTCTCCCTCTGGTCTCTCTCTCCTCACCCTCTGGTCTCTCTCCTCACTCTCTGGTCTCTCTCTCCTCTCCTTCTGGTCTCTCTCTCCTCTCCCTCTGGTCTCTCTCTGGTCTCCCCCTGGTCTCTCTCCTCACCCTCTGGTCTCTCTCTCCTCACCCTCTGGTCTCTCTCTGGTCCCTCTGGTCTCTCTCTCCTCACCCTCTGGTCTCTCTCCTCACTCTCTGGTCTCTCTCTCCTCTCCTTCTGGTCTCTCTCTCCTCTCCCTCTGGTCTCTCTCTCCTCTCCCTCTGGTCTCTCTCTGGTCTCCCCCTGGTCTCTCTCCTCACCCTCTGGTCTCTCTCTCCTCACCCTCTGGTCTCTCTCTGGTCCCTCTGGTCTCTCTCTGGTCTCCCTCTGGTCTCTCTCTGGTCTCCCTCTGGTCTCTCTCTCCTCACCCTCTGGTCTCTCTCTCCTCTCCCTCTGGTCTCTCTCTGGTCTCCCCCTGGTCTCTCTCCTCACCCTCTGGTCTCTCTCTCCTCACCCTCTGGTCTCTCTCTGGTCCCTCTGGTCTCTCTCTGGTCTCCCTCTGGTCTCTCTCTCCTCACCCTCTGGTCTCTCTCTCCTCTCCCTCTGGTCTCTCTCTGGTCTCCCTCTGGTCTCTCTCCTCACCCTCTGGTCTCTCTCTCCTCTCCTTCTGGTCTCTCTCTGGTCTCTCTCTGGTCTCCCTCTGGTCTCTCTCCTCACCCTCTGGTCTCTCTGGTCTCCCTCTGGTCTCTCTCTCCTCACCCTCTGGTCTCTCTCTCCTCTCCTTCTGGTCTCTCTCTGGTCTCTCTCTGGTCTCCCTCTGGTCTCTCTCTCCTCACCCTCTGGTCTCTCTCTCCTCTCCCTCTGGTCTCTCTCTCCTCTCTCTCTGGTCTCCCCCTGGTCTCTCTCCTCACCCTCTGGTCTCTCTCTCCTCACCCTCTGGTCTCTCTCTGGTCTCCCTCTGGTCTCTCTCTCCTCACCCTCTGGTCTCTCTCTGGTCTCCCTCTGGTCTCTCTCTCCTCACCCTCTGGTCTCTCTCCTCACCCTCTGGTCTCTCTCTCTCTCTCCTTCTGGTCTCTCTCTGGTCTCTCTCTGGTCTCCCTCTGGTCTCTCTCCTCACCCTCTGTTCTCTCTCTCCTCTCCTTCTGGTCTCTCTCCTCACCCTCTGGTCTCTCTCTCCTCTCCCTCTGGTCTCTCTCTCCTCTCCCTCTGGTCTCTCTCTCCTCTCTCTCTGGTCTCTCTCTCCTCTCCCTCTGGTCTCTCTCTCCTCACCCTCTGGTCTCTCTCTCCTCTCCCTCTGATCTCTCTCTCTCTCTCCCTCTGGTCTCTCTCTCCTCTCCCTCTGGTCTCTCTCTCCTCACCCTCTGGTCTCTCTCTCTCTCCCTCTGGTCTCTCTCTCTCCCCCTCTGGTCTCTCTCTCTCTCCACTCGTGAGCATTCCTCTCGTTCCTGGTCATTTAATTGTTTTGGTCCAAGTTCAAGAATTTCACACACACACACACACACACACACACACACACACACACACACACACACACACACACACACACACACACACACACACACACACACACACACACACACACAGACTGACCTTTTCCAGCCCAAACGTCCTTGTTTTCGCGGTCTCTCTTCAGAAACAATGACCTCCTCATGACTCCTGACTCGGGCTGCTTCCTGCTGGTGGAAAGTTAGAAACTGATCAAGCAAAACATTATGACCACACAATGACTCAGCCTCAGGACCAACAATACTGTAGGTCTGCACACAGCGGTGCTCTGACTCCCGCGGTCCCAACGCCAAAGAAAACTTGTATTGAAAAGTAAAATGTTAAATAAATAGACAATTATAAGTGTTATGAGTTCACACTTCCAGGTTTCTCCCTTTAGTTGTTATGTTTTTAATTAAAGATTGTGTAACTGTACAGTTTACTTTACCAGGACAATCAAGATCACACACACACACATACAGTACACATAGACACCACACAGACACATACAGACACACACACACAAAGACAGAGACGCACACACACACACACACAGTGGCTCAGTTGGTAGAGCATTGGCATTTGGGCCTGGAGGTTGTGGGTTCGAGCCCACCGTAAGACCTACTTAATCACTCCCACTGATGTCTGCTGTCGTTGTGACCATGGGCAGAGGATCAGTGAGGGGCTGGTGCGGCTCTGACTGCCACCCCCCCAACCCAGAAATGGATTAAGGGGAAGAAAATGGGATGGATGGATGAATGAAAGTCCAGTACCCCAGCTAATATTGCGTATGGCTGCGAAATGAACGCAGACTTGACTCGACATAACACCCTTACGTACTTTTATAATCCAATTGATATCGAAGCGTCTGTGTGTGTGTGTGTGTGTCTCTGTGTGTGTGTGTGTGTGTGTGTGTCTCTGTGTGTGTGTGTGTCTATGTGTGTGTGTCTCTGTGTGTGTGTGTGTGTGTGTGTGTGTGTGTGTCTCTGTGTGTGTGTGTGTGTGTCTCTGTGTGTGTGTGTCTCTCTGTGTGAGTGTGTGTCTCTCTCTGTGTGTGTGTGTGTGTCTCTGTGTGACTCTCTGTGTGTGTGTGTGTGTGTGTGTGTCTCTGTGTGTGTCTCTGTGTGTGTGTGTGTGTGTGTGTGTGTCTCTCTGTGTATGTGTCTCTGTGTGTGTGTGTCTCTGTGTGTGTCTCTGTGTGTGTGTGTCTCTGTGTGTGTGTGTGTGTGTGTGTCTCTCTCTGTGTGTGTGTGTGTGTGTGTGTTTTGCCCCTACGTAAGTGCAGTGTCTAGACTCTTAGCCCTGTTGTATCATTGCACTAACACATCCTCCTGCCATGTGTTTGAATGCACAGAGCACCTGCTGAGCGCTCTGCTGAGGATTAAAGAAGTGATCCGGAGGCGCGTGGAGAGCGGCGAGGAGGACGAGAGCGACCAAAGGGGAATGACACAGAGGCTGGAGGACATCCTGAGAGACTCCAGCGGTAAATCACACCACAAACACTCACACGGCCAACGCACAACCAACACTGATGCACTGTACTGGGATACAAGCCGGGACAAGGGATACAAATATAATCCACTTTATTAATATAGCACATTTCATAGTAAAACAGGAAAATTATTTTTAAAAAACAAATAGGAAAAAATGTGTGTGCATATATGTATAAATATGAACATAACAATAAAACAAAATAAAATAATAAAAATAAAAATAAATTAAATTAAATATGGAAGATGGAAAATCATGGAAGTCAGCAAAAAATGAAGTGAAGTAGCTCAAAAAAAACTCAAATCAAGTTCATTCTGACTTAAAATGGGACAAAGCCTTTTAGTCTGATTTCAATAAATGTTGCTTTATTTTCTCATTCCAAGACAGACATTTCTTGTGCCTTTTTGAAACGCGATTATTTTTCTTTGTCCTGTTTGCAAACCTTGTCTTAATGCTCAGTTTTTTTTCAGAATGTGCTCAAATTAAGACACATTTTGAGATTTTTTTAAAACTTATTTTCCATCACTTTTTTGCAGTGCAGGAACTTAACACTCGAACTCCCAGAGCAGTCAATTTGACGGCTTTTTGTTTTGGAAGTGTAACTATAAGTGCCTCATACTTTTCTTCATTCTTGGTCTTTTTCTGTATCTGGATTTTTAGCTTTTTGATCAAGTTTTAAGTGCTTGGTTGTCTTGCACCTATGAAAAATTTAACTAGTCAAAAATCATAAATATCTAACACTAGAACTCAATTTTGAGTCTTTGAGTGTCCAGAAAAGTGCTATATAAGTACGATGTATTATTTATTATTATTACGATTCAATTCAATTCAATTCATTCTTGTATTGCCCTAAATCACAACAGCAGTAGCCTGGTCGTACCACACCATAGTACAAATTACATTTCGTACTAAGGTCTGGAGATGCTCCATTGAGCTCCGTTAACAGGTGGGAGGGGTTAACTCCTTTTGCAGATTGAAACAATTGGATCTGAGTTCACTGTGACGAATGTGGTGCGCCCGAGTCTGTTGTTAGCATTAGCATTTAGCCTAGCTTTAGCCATCTCCTTTGCCGCTAACGGAGCCCGTGGGGAGTAGCGCCACAATCTTTGCAGAGATTACATTTGCTAAACATTCCTCTTCCTCCGGCTTCAATTTCTTGATAGAACCAGACCGGATTACTTTACTATCGCATTCTTCGCCATTACCAAACTACACCAACCTGCCGCTCGCTGATTGGTCAAGAGCCGTTATCTCAGAGGACTTTACAAAACCGTTGATTTCGCCGACACAGATCAGAGAATCAAAACAGTTCAATTATTATTATCTATGCACATTTGTTTGTATTTATACTTTTAATGAATCTAGTGGAAAACTAAACACGGGGAGATCGAATGTTAAAGTAGCAGAGATCTATTGTTGGAGCCAATTCATTTACTATCAGTCATTTAAATGTATGTGTTCCTTTGTGGTCATTGGGAACTAAAGAAGAACTAAAGACATTATAGATGAAGACATGTCATTTTGTATTCTTTAATAAAACTGCAGCAAAGCCAGTGCTTATTTTCAGATGTGAGTTATAAACCTCCTCCAACGGACATCGCAGCTATTCTTACACACACTGAGTCTATTCCGCTCTATCTTAAATCTCTCCCATTTCACTGTTAAATTGTGAGCCAAATATCGAGTCGACTTTTTCTGGCCTCCATCCAAAAAAACAGGTGTGTAGTTCCAGCGTTTACAACTACCACTACACAATATGATCCCAGCCAAAGGGCCTTCTTCCAAATATCCAAAAATATCCTAAATATGTGTTTAGGTTTTGCTGTTTTACTGTTGTACTTTCATCTCTGTAGATATTTGAACACAGAGAAAATGACTTATTACTTCAATATTCTTGCGTTAGAGCGTGTTACAGATTTATCTCAAGTGTATGTTTCTGCACCACAATCGATCAACCTTAATTTGTAGAGCGCTTTCTCTACACACTGTCACACAAAGTGGCCCTAACACTTAAGGCAATAATCTTAAACGTCAAAAACACACTGCAAACAACCGTTAAGATCACACAGATTATTAAAAACATGCATTCAAATCTCACAGGGAAAGGACAAAGATCATTGCACAAGGCTCATACGATTTTATATGTGTTTTTAAATATCCAAGAAACTTTTGTCTTCTCAAAAATCTGGCTCTCGACTAAAATTCAGTTGTCTTTGTGATTTTGGCAAAAACTGGAATAGCAGCAGAAGCTAAAAACGGCTGTGGGGGTCGTTGAGAAGAAGTGAAAGACGGAAAAGGACAGGAATAATTCTGGGCAAATGAGGAGAGATTCGAAATAAAACTAGAGAGGCAAAACTGTTTTTTTTTTAACATTTCCAAAATACTCAGTAATAAAAGTCTCTGGAGAAATTCCTCAAACTAATGTAGAGCAAAAGGTTCTTATATTAGCGTAGATGGAGCTAAAATCAACTCCAGGTTTGTTTTCGATGAGGGAACGATGTGACGATATGGAGCCGGTTTACGAAGCTCAGGTGAAAGTGTTTACTGTGATTTATTTAGTGTTTTTTTTTTTTATTTATTTTTTTTTTTTTATTTAACACCATGTGATACAGATTCCATAAAAAACATAAATTACTATGTACAACATAGTAGTGCAGAATATATTGGTGGAGGAGGGAAGGGGGAGTGGGGGGGGGGGGCATTTTTAAGGCATCCAGAGCATGAAACGAAGAAAACAAAATACTAAATAAAAAAAATAAAATAACAAGCAAGTACTGTCGTGGAAATATGTAGGTGCTAATGTGTAAGTGTGGGTGTTAATGTATTTGAATGTTTGTGTATATGTATAAATGTGTGACCATATGTGTCTGAAGAAGAAATAGAAAAAATAAAAAAAACAGAGCAATAACAGTGAATAAAACGAAAAAAAAAACAAAAAAAACAAAAACAAATGAGTGCTGCCACTTATTTAGTTTGAACAAGACGTGGATCGAGGCGTGAACTTCCAGGTTGTTTGAAGTCACTGGATCAAGCAGTTTCTACCCTGTATTCATTTGTGTGCAACCGCGTACACCAGATCCTATTGAGACACAGCCACCTGATGCATTTAAAAGTGCAGGGAAAAGCCGTTTATATATTATAAATGTATGGAGCTGGATTTATACTTTACTCACTCATTCTTGTTCATTGTGATTAAGTGCAGTATCTCGACAAAAGCAGTGGAAATTAAATGTTGTGCGCTTATGCATGTGTCAGACCGGTTTGGTAGTAACCCTAAAAAGAAGTCGTATTCTTATGCTTTTTATTTTTTTTGTAATTTTCTTTTTATTGTCTCATTTTTTTTATCACATTTCGGACACATTTTGTCACATTTTTGTCACGTTGTCGTCACATTTTCATCACATTGTCGTCACATTTTTGTCACGTTATAGTCACATTTTTGTCACATTACGGTCCAATCTTTAGCACATTTTTGTCACATTGTCGTCACATTTTTGTCACGTTATGGTCACATCTTTGTCACATTATGGTCACATCTTTGTCACATTTTTGTCACGTTATCGTCACCTTGTCGTCCTATTATGGTCACATCTTTGTCAAATTTTTTGTTACATTGTCGTCACATTTTTTGTCACTTTATCGTCACATTTTTTGTTACATTGTCGTCACATTTTTGTCACTTTATCGTCACATTTTTTGTTACATTGTCGTCACATTTTTTGTCACTTTATCGTCACATTGTCGTCATATTATGGCCACATTTGTCACTTTTTCATCTCGTTTTTATCACTCTTATTTTTTTCCTTTCCCCCGTGTGTACCTACACCCAGTAAAACAAGAGAAAAATAAAAACAAAGACAAAGAATAAAAAATAAGATAAAACACGAACGTAGTTAAATAATAAGAAACAATCACAAAATGCTTTTTAAATGTACTCATAGTTGTATTACTTTTGTCTCCTGTTTCTTTGAGATTCACAATAAACCAAAACTAACTAACATTTCTCATTGCGCCCCCTGCAGGCCCGCTGGTCGCCGGTCGGACCAAAGACTTTGTTCAGAGGATCCTGGCCGCCAGTGCTGGGGGCCAAGTCCAACAGAAAGACCCTCCCCAGGGAGAGGACTCTTCCGCCGCATAGCCCTCTACTGGAACGGTAAAAGTCCTGGTTCACCCGAGAAAGAGGCGTCCCATCTTTTCACAGCAAAACGGGAGGAAAGATCTCTGGCTGGGTTTCCCTCCCGATTACGACGAGGCCAGAGCTGCTGCTAACGCTAACATATTTGTATTTGTCTTCACGCGTTTGTGAGTCCTTTAACTGTGTCTGTGATGTTTCCCATTGTGCCTACAGTAAATATATAAGGATAGACATTGCACTGTTTTGTAACGACTGGTGATAGTTGTCGGCCAGGGGAGAAAAAGAGCAGGGATGTCACGACTTTGTGTTTTTGCCTTAAATTTAGTGTCGTCTCGATACATCCACAAACAAATACTCTATATCAATTTACCATTATTTATAAATGCTCTTTTAGACAATAAACCATCATTTTGAACTCAAGTTTTTTTGACGAGTACTTCTGATGTAATGCACACAAAATGTCCATTTCTTGAGCATTTTCTGAGCATCTAAAAGTTTTTGTTTTAGCATCAATAAACTGCTAAACTATCAGAGCCGTCATTTTGACTGCTCCCATGCAAGTCAATGGAATTTTGAAAAAAACTTAGCACTTAAAACGACTTGAGTTACAGACATATTTTGTTAAAGTTTTTTTAAAAATCTATGTTATTTATAGACTGAGGACCACCGTAGTTCCCTATCAATGGAAAACACTGAAAACCATTGGAGTCCAGACTTGAGTCTCATGTTTAAACTACTGACAAAGAAAAAATACTTATCAAAAAGCCGAAAAATGTTAATATGTTGTACTTATTGCACTATGTTTATGTATTTTCCAGTCTTTAAAACAAGTCTGTGGTATCAACACTGGGCTTTCAACCTGTAACTAATCTATAATGTTAGTCATATTTAATAATTCTGTCAAAGATCTGGGCCATCGACAAAAGCCTTGTTGAATATTTATTACCAATTCTTATGAAATTGTGTGACATCCCTGGTAGGTTGTAGGTAGTGAAACAAGAGCAGAGAGCAGCATCCAGCGAACTGAGGAAAAAAGAAAAAATAAGGATTTTAATAAGAGATTTTTTTATTATTTTAATCTTTATTGACTCAATTCCAGCTGTTTTCATGAGGAAGGCTACAGACGACATTACACTGAAATGATAAAATGACTTGAAACCAGAATTAAGTGTTTTCTACCTTTTTGTATAAAATATTACTAGAAATAACCAATATTAGTACAAACAAATGATTTTGTGAACAAGAAAACATATTTAACGGTACTTTCCAACAAATTAATATTATTATTCTAGTAACATTTTAGAACTCACAACCAACATTTATGGAAATAGATAATTATGAAAATTAATTACAAGACATTTTCTGACCCAAATTAAATGACTTTCTTTACTTTTGCATTTGTTTATTACCAAAATTGTTGGTTCTTTTTTTCTTTTATTGTACAATAAATGTGAATAAAGACTTCAAAAAGCTACTCATTTATTAAAATATTAAAATGAGTTTAATTGAATTAATTTACCAGTATTAAAAAATTTAGAAGTTCATTTTTAAATCAATACATTTGAATTTAATGTAATTACGTTTATTGTGTATTAAATTCATTTGAATTGTATTACATTTATGTTATTAAATTGTTTTTTCTTTGAATTAATTTTATTCAATATTTAATAGGTTTAACTAGATTTAATGAATTTTAGTTGAGCTCATTTACTCCAAAATTATGTGTCTGTTATTCAACTCAACTTAAATAATCAATTTATATTTACTTGAAAAGGGGAAATCTAATCTAATCTAAATGGATAAATTAAATTCTGGATACAAATCATTTTCAGAAGAACATTTGAACTCTCATTCTGCGAGACCATTTCACCAGCACATAATAATAATAAGACGATATGCACCTTACTTCAAAATGACCAAAGAAAATCAACACTGCTGAACCACGCAAACACCAAAAACGCTCGATGCTGCCAAACATTTATTTTTTCTTTTGAAGTTTGCTACAAATTGTGTGATTTAAAATGATTTGTTCTGTTGTTTTTTATTGCAGAATTTATGGCACTGGGTTTGAGCAGGTTTGAACTGAAGAAAGATGGGTGAGAATATGTTAATCATAACATTTCTAACAGCAAAACAGAATAAGGGGTAGGTCATAAATTGCTTTTGACGGATTGAACCAATATAAAAAAGTCAATTGTTTTAGCATAAATGTTATTTTTCTTAATTTATTCATGCACATTTATTAACATTTATGGACAGAGGTTTCCAGCTCCCTATGGACCTCCATCCATCCATCCATTTTCTACCCTTTAATCCATTTCTGGGTCAGGGGGATGGCAGTCAGAGATGCCACCCAAGTCTCATATCACCAGCCCCTCACTGACCCTCTGCAGGTGGTGAGTCCACAGGAGGACGGCTGCTCTCTGAGTGTGAGCATAGCCTTGATCTTTCAGTGGGGGCTTTGGGCAAAGTGGGGTTAAGTGTCTTGCCCAAGGACACAACGACAGCAGTCATCAGTGGGAGTCGGTGGAGAAGGTGCAGAGGTGGGAATTGAACCCACGACCTTCTGGCCTTAAAGTGGTTCTCACCCCCGCTCCTCGGAGCTTACGTTACTCACATTTCCTGTTCAAATCTTCCTCTAAATGGGCGTAGCCTGGAGGACTAAAGGGGGCATGAACGAGACTGGGCCGTTTACATTGCTCTGGGCGGGGGGCTGCTGACGTCAGGTCCAACTTGCAGACGTCAGGTCTTGCTGCGGCGCCAGTGTTGGCGCCAGATTCAAAATTCAAATGTAGTAATACAGGTCGCCAGCAGATGGCGCCTCACAGACGGTTTTAGGCAGAAAGTCTAACTTTCAACTAATTTGCACCAAAGTGACAAGATTATGACCAGGATATGTAGACAACACTATTGGACACTCATTTATACCGTTTATCAGCAAAAAAAGTGGATTTGAGGGTGAGTTGTCCTTTAAGGCAAATGCTCTACCAACTGAGCTACTGTCCCTATGGACTTATGTGTTATTATTGTGTTGTCCGTGTTCCATCTGTTTGATTCTGTTTGATTGGAGCTGTACAAAAGTAAATAGTTTTTAATTTACTAAGTTTTGTACAGTTTTATCAGAAATTATAAGGAACAACTAAAAAACTAATTGGAAAAAAAAACACTTTCGAAATTGTTTTGATTTTCCTATGAATTTATCATCCAATGTTTTCTATAAATTGATTCATTGAATTATTGAAAGCTACTTCTGGAAAGTTTGAAATAATAATTATTTTATTGAATTTATTATGTTTACTTGAACTTATCAAGTTTAATTGATTTGAATGTAATTAATTTGAATAAATTGTTATTACATTTAATTAAATTTGATCAAGTTTATTAAATTTGTATTATTAATTTGATAATTTAAATTGTATTACATTTATTCACATACATTTGCTACGACTTTCTTATGTCTCTTATCCATCTACTTTTCAGTTTGGACCTGCTCTGAAGTACATGCACATATATTTAGCTTTTGTTTTATTTATTGAAAATCCTAAATTTTTCCGCTGCTCTCTGCTCTGCCCCTGGTTTTAATATGTAGCGCACCTTTTTTGCAAATAGAGAAAAACACATTTGTAGAGCTAGAAAAAGCAAATAAGTTCATAATTTGTTGTTTTGGTTGATTTGTTGCTGTCATGACGACAGCTCACACAGTGGGCGTCACCTTTTTAATGGAAAAATATGCCTTTTTTCTTTTGGTTTTTTTGTCAATGAATGGTGTTTTCTTTGCTGGAGTTGTAGACCACTACGTCCGAGGTCTCTAAATATAATCGGACAAAAATGAATAGTTCCCTTTGAGTTTTGCACTGTGGTAAAAAAGAGAAACCCAAGCACCTTTCGACGCTTCTTGTGAAGTAAAGACAAAGCTATCGTTGCTTCTGTCTTCTCTGGTGCTACTTTATCTGGAAAACGAGAAATGCAAATCATCACAAAGAAAACTCTGTGAAAAGGATGACTTGAATTTAAACTATTATTCGTAATTGTTTCTTATGGTGTGAATTAAATCATCCTATGTGGTTGCAGTTAAAGCTGGGGTACCTAACTTTCAAGCCACATCAATTGAAGGATGTGAATAGTTTTCACAGGCATGGATTAAAATAGCTCTTTTAAACAATTATGCAAAAGATAAAGACCAGAGATATAGTTAGAGTTAAGATTTATTATCTGATTTATTCACAACCTTTTTTCCATTTTTTTTTCTTTTTTTTACCTTTTTGGGAATAAAAAACATGGATAATTTAGAATACAGAAAAGTCAGGTAACCCAGCTTTAAAGCGTGTATGACAGGTTGGACACAGTTAACATCAATACATGTGATTTAGCTAATTATTTTTCAGAATTCACCCCAGTGTGGCCATATTTTTACTTCCAGGTTTTGATTGATGACGTCATAGTCGGGATGTTACTAGGCAACCCTGTAATAAACCGGACCAAGACGTCTCCAATGTCCACAGAAATGACTATTTTAAGGAATGACATTACAAGGTGAATTAGTCGAGTGAATAAAAGTGTGTTTATTATGATATTTGTCAAACTTTAAGAATTCTGTCCCAGTGTGATGTCATCAGTTGTTGGCCTCCGCTCTACTTCCTGTAAAATTAAACCTATTTCCTCACTTTTCTCCACAAGCATTATTTGTGTAAAACTGTAATTACAATTTTAACCAGGATTAAACCATACATTAATTTAAAATAATAATAATGAAAACCTAAGGGGGGCGACAGTAGCTCAGTTGGTAGAGCATTGGCCTTAAGGCCAGAAGGTCGTGGGTTCAATTCCCACCTCTGCACCTTCTCCACCGACTCCCACTGATGACTGCTGTCGTTGTGTCCTTGGGCAAGACACTTAACCCCACTTTGCCCAAAGCCCCCACTGAAAGATCAAGGCTATGCTCACACTCAGAGAGCAGCCGTCCTCCTGTGGACTCACCACCTGCAGAGGGTCAGTGAGGGGCT